TAACTCATGGTGAGAGTGATCTATGTATTGGTTCTGTCAACGCTAATCGATATCGAAGTGAATTAGTGAATATGATAGGAATGTTTGTATCAACATTACCATATCGTGTTGAACTTGATCCTCATTGGTCATTTGATGAAGTAGTTAAATATGTACTAGAAAAATGTTTATCAATTCTTGAACATTCTCATTATCCAGTACAACAGATTGCTGGTGATAATCGATTAAATCAATCGAAAGTATCATTTCTTGAGACAATGTTTGATTTTATTAGTGTGTCAAAAGATGTTGAACATTTATGTTTAAACGATGCGAATTTAGAACAAGTATCATTAGAACAATCATATGAAATGGCTAAATTTGACTTTTCATTAACATTTGTATACAATCCATTACCAGATAACAAAAGATTATCATGTCGTTTTATTTGTTCACATGATTTGTTTGAAAAATCAACTATTTCACGAATAGCTCAAAGATTTGAATATATGTTTGAACAACTGTTTCAAACACAATCAAGCAATATTCCTGTGATGAATATGAGTTCATCGATCAACAAAGTGTCTCTTATTTTTTATGAGGAAGCTGAAGAAATAGAATTAGTAGTGTTTCATCGATTGAAGGATATTACTAGTGAAGGTATGATTGTATGCAGTTCCCTTCTATTGTTTTATAAAAGTAGTAGTCAGCTAAATCCTTAATGTGAAATACACATTAAAGTGCATTGCAATGCACAGACATAGTATTTTCAGTTTTTAAATGAATCCTATCGGAATAGATAATGAGAAAATAGGGATTCAAATGAGTTGTGATGGTCAGTGACTCAGATTGTCGTTTTCAGGTGCTCCCGTTTTGCAACTTTTAAGAAGAGATCGCTGAAGATGCTGAAAATGAGTTGGAATCGGACTTACTGAGAGATTTTTCGCGAGAGATATCGAAGTTAAGTTGTAACGATTTCTGATGAATATCTACCTTCAGTATGTGGATATTCTTGTATTTTTGTATTAATTTACAAAAATTAAACATTTTCGTTGCTCGAAAGTTGTAGATTTCGTTTTCTGAAACTGAACAACGATGGTAGTAGATTGTTCTATAGGCCTGTTTATGTGTAAACTGGCACTCTCTCGAAACTAAGATACGTTCGTAGATCACATGCCAATAAAAACGTTCAGCTCAGTTCGAGAGACGATTACATGAAAAGTGACTAGAATATTGATATCAAACATCATTTGGCCATCTAGTTTTTACATTATAATCCATGAAGCTCTCATTATTCTAGCACCAGCATCATTTGCACAAGCTCGTGTTTGGTTCGATGAAGGCATTCCATTCGATTCTGACAAGCCTCAAATAGCAATCTATAATATGCCTTTTGTTTATCGTCTGCAACCAGGTCATACTTTCTCGATTAAACAACTTCGTCTTGCTCTTCATCTAACTGTTAACAAACATCCCTCACTTCACACATCACTTCATTTTAACATCCAAAAAAATCTACTTGTGCAACGAGTTATTACTCATGAAAATAAAAATAATAATAATAATATGTTTTCAATCATCGAAACTACTTATGAAACAGATGGACAGTTGAATGAAATTTTACATGACGAAAAACGAAATCCTCATCTATTTAATATTGTTCAAGGTCTTGTCTTTCGATGTCATCTTGTTTACTACAAACAAATCTCGTCAAATCATCTACTTTCTGACAAAGATCTACTTATTTTCAACTTTCATCATGCTCTATTTGACTTTCCATCCATGAATATATTTCTTCATGATCTCAATCAAGCATATACAACAGGTCAATTATTATATGATGACAGCACTAATCTTCGTTATCTCGATTGTAAATATAAATACTACTTCTACTTTTCTCTTTGGCTAACACATTCTTTTCTTTGACTTCATAGATGCTATCATAGAACAACAAATGTCAATGAGTGGTGCAGGCATGTTTTGGCTTGATGCTCTCCTTGATTGTAAACTTGATCAATCTTTGTCATTACCATATGATCGATATCATCTCTCAAATGAACATCGAACTGGCCGTGGAGCATGTATTTCTTTTGATTTTGGTCAAGATCTCTCCCAAGGCTTTTTTTTCCACGCATCATCAAACAACATATCACTAGAACATCTTGCACTTGCTACTTATTATGTATTTTTATTCAAATTAACCAATGGACAAACAGATCTATGTCTGGCTATGAATATCAATAATAATCGATATAGAAAAGAACTCAAATCAATCATTGGACTGTTTGAGAATATTATTCCATTACGATGTCAATTAGATCCTCATTGGTCTTTCCACCAACTACTTGAGCATGTACAAGAGATAACAACCAATAGTATGAATTATTCATATTTTCCACTTCAACGTATTCTCAATCAACATCCACATCTTTCCAAATATTCATTTCTGGATACATCTCTGGAATTTATATCATATGAGAGAAACAATAACAACAATGCAATTATGATTGGTGATTCTCAAATAATTCCAGCATTTTCCTCATTCAATATCAATGAAGATCAGATATTAAGTACATCGGACTTCTCTCTTTCGTTTCATCATGATTTGTATATGAATCAACTGTCATGTACAATCAATGCATCACTGGACTTATTCAATCGAGAGACAGTGGAGAAGATTTTACAACGATTTCATTTCATCTTATATCAATTATCTGCATCTATGTTTGACAATCAAATGAACAAATCTATCTATGAACTATCATTAACATTATCAAATGAACAATATCTAATGCAATCATTGAATAATACACAAATATCATTTTCATCTCCTCTCACCTGTATTCATCATGAATTTGTATATCAAGTAATGACACATCCACAAAAACTAGCAGTTGACCTTGATGGACAATCATTAACATATTGTGAACTTCTATATTATGTACAAATATTATCTTTAACTCTTCTTAATGAATATTATGTGTTTCCAGGTGAGGTCGTATGTCAATGTGTTGAGCGAAGTTTGTCAATGGTAAGTTAATTAAAAGAAATAACTGTTGATCAGAGTTTGAGATTTATCTTTGATTAGGTGATTGGTATAATGGCAATTGAAGTGAGTGGAGGTGTTTATTGTCCATTATCACCTCGAGATCCACAACATCGTTTACATGCACTTGTGAAACAAACTCAAAATCGTCTTGTTCTTGTTCATGATTTAACGAAGACCAAATTTGATGATGATGATATTATTTCACTTGATATTGATTCAATATTAAATGTGTATAATATGGAAAGGAACATTGATATTGGTCAATTATCAAATATAAAAGTTACACTCGATGATTTAGCTTATATCATTTTCACAAGTGGTTCAACTGGAATACCTAAAGGGGTTAGTTGAGATTTAGCTTTTCTAGTATTTGAATGAATTTTGTGCTTTCTGATAGGTTCAAGTCCAGCACAAGAACTTCACCGGATTTATGTGCTCGTTAATTTATTGCGATGTATTTAATGAAAACGATACAATCCTTCAAATGGCACGTTGTTCTTTCGATGTTCATGTTCACGATATATTGGGTAGTTTTATGATTGGAAGTAGTCTGATTATGCTACATCCAAAAGGAATGATGGACTTTGACTATCTGGCTGGTGTTTTCGAAGAAAAGAATATCACTTGTTTTGCTTCTGTTCCAACTATAATTAATAATTTCTTCACTTATCTGCAACAACAAAATCATCATAATGCTGCACAATACCTACGATCAGTTTGTAGTGGTGGTATGTGATGTTTATATGAAATGTATTGTTTTTGATATTATATGATTTCATCTTTAGGTGAGTCTTGCTCTTCGAAACTAATAAATTCAATATCAAACACTGTAACACACTCTTGTCGACTATGGAACATGTATGGTCCTGCTGAAACAACAATTGATTGCACATTTCATCTTTTCCATAATACAATAGAGAATGAAAGCTTTCCAATAGGCAGACCACTTCCAACTTATCAAAATCTAGTTTTAGCTCAGTTCTCACAAAATGCGTTTCTCAATCAAGAAGGTGAACTGTTCGTAGGTGGAGTAGGTGTGTTTGCTGGTTATCTTGGACGTGATGATCTAACTGCAAAAGCTCTTGTTGAAATAGATAGTCAACTATTTTATCGAACAGGTGATCTTGTTAGAATGGATAACAATGGTCTTCTTCATTATAAAGGTAGAAAAGATCATCAAATCAAACTTCATGGACAACGAATTGAGCTTGGTGAAATCGAACGATGTTTACTTAGCATTACATCCATCTCTGCTTGTACTGTTGTGAAATGGAATGATGATCATTTAGTTGCTTATGTACAATCTTCTTCTCATATGAATGAAGAACAACTACGGCAACATTGTCAATCTCATCTCCCCCCCACATATGATTCCATCAATATTCATCATACTTGATAAATTACCTCTGAATCCAAATGGAAAAATAGATCGCAAACAACTTCCTTCACCTCACTTCTCATCTATACAGTCCACAAACAACATAGAAATATTACTACCAACAAATGATATTGAAGTTAGTATTCATCATATTTGGTGTGATATATTCAAACAAAATCAAATCTCAACTGATACAAATATATTCACTATTGGTGGTCATTCATTACTTATGATGCAACTCTTTCATCGATACAAGATGGAGTTTCATTTAGAAACAAATACTCTTTCTATTACTGATCTATTTCAACATCCAACAATTATTCATCATGCTCAACTCATTCAGCAATCTATCAATGCCATCCATGCTCTCGATGATTATCCTTGGTCTTCCTTACATCTCATTCAAGGTAAACAAAACAACTTGTATTATATACTATCATCTACTACATATTCATCTCTTTCTTTCGCATTCTAGCTAGAGCATCATTTGCACAAGAACGCATCTTCTTAGATGAACAAATTCGTTTTTCCTCTAAAACAACGACGAAGAATATGTATGTTATTCCATTACTCTATCGTATAGCATCTATGAATGATCATATATTAATAACTCGATTATATCATGCATTTCAAAGTGTTATCACAAAACATAATATTCTTCGAACTGCACTTTATGTTGATGATACAAATGGTAATATTATACAACACTGTTTAGATGCAAACATCATTCTCAACGATGATATGAAATTCAATGGATTCACAATCGTTAATATCAATAATGATAATCACCGTCATATGAATGAAGTTATTGAAAATATATTAAATCAAGCTGATTTATTTGATTTATCAAAAGGACGTGTTATTCGTTGTCATATTCTTCGTCATTATCATCAATCTCAAGATAATAGTTCGCGTGAGAATGATGATCTGTTGACTGAAAATGATCACATATTGATTAGTATTCATCATGCAATGTTTGATGGAGCATCGGTATCAATATTTCTTCGTGATCTGTCTCTTGCTTATCAATCTATTGACTCGTTATCTATGGATGCTAACTCATTACAATATATTGACTATTCTATTCATGAACATGTCATGGATATGTCATTATCTCGTGAATTCTGGCACTCTCAACTTGAAGGATACAATATCGAATGTTCACTATCATTACCATTTGATCGACAACGTTCATCAACTAGTCAACAACGATCAGGTTTAGCATCTACAGCTGAAATCATTTTCGATAATGCAATATGCACATCATTTTTAACTTATGCGTCATCACATCATCTCACACTTTTTCAACTTGGATTATCCATGTTTTATGTTTTCCTATTCAAACTAACTCATGGTGAGAGTGATCTATGTATTGGTTCTGTCAACGCTAATCGATATCGAAGTGAATTAGTGAATATGATAGGAATGTTTGTATCAACATTACCATATCGTGTTGAACTTGATCCTCATTGGTCATTTGATGAAGTAGTTAAATATGTACTAGAAAAATGTTTATCAATTCTTGAACATTCTCATTATCCAGTACAACAGATTGCTGGTGATAATCGATTAAATCAATCGAAAGTATCATTTCTTGAGACAATGTTTGATTTTATTAGTGTGTCAAAAGATGTTGAACATTTATGTTTAAACGATGCGAATTTAGAACAAGTATCATTAGAACAATCATATGAAATGGCTAAATTTGACTTTTCATTAACATTTGTATACAATCCATTACCAGATAACAAAAGATTATCATGTCGTTTTATTTGTTCACATGATTTGTTTGAAAAATCAACTATTTCACGAATAGCTCAAAGATTTGAATATATGTTTGAACAACTGTTTCAAACACAATCAAGCAATATTCCTGTGATGAATATGAGTTCATCGATCAACAAAGTGTCTCTTATTTTTTATGAGGAAGCTGAAGAAATAGAATTAGTAGTGTTTCATCGATTGAAGGATATTACTAGTGAAGGTATGATTGTATGCAGTTCCCTTCTATTGTTTTATAAAAGTAGTAGTCAGCTAAATCCTTAATGTGAAATACACATTAAAGTGCATTGCAATGCACAGACATAGTATTTTCAGTTTTTAAATGAATCCTATCGGAATAGATAATGAGAAAATAGGGATTCAAATGAGTTGTGATGGTCAGTGACTCAGATTGTCGTTTTCAGGTGCTCCCGTTTTGCAACTTTTAAGAAGAGATCGCTGAAGATGCTGAAAATGAGTTGGAATCGGACTTACTGAGAGATTTTTCGCGAGAGATATCGAAGTTAAGTTGTAACGATTTCTGATGAATATCTACCTTCAGTATGTGGATATTCTTGTATTTTTGTATTAATTTACAAAAATTAAACATTTTCGTTGCTCGAAAGTTGTAGATTTCGTTTTCTGAAACTGAACAACGATGGTAGTAGATTGTTCTATAGGCCTGTTTATGTGTAAACTGGCACTCTCTCGAAACTAAGATACGTTCGTAGATCACATGCCAATAAAAACGTTCAGCTCAGTTCGAGAGACGATTACATGAAAAGTGACTAGAATATTGATATCAAACATCATTTGGCCATCTAGTTTTTACATTATAATCCATGAAGCTCTCATTATTCTAGCACCAGCATCATTTGCACAAGCTCGTGTTTGGTTCGATGAAGGCATTCCATTCGATTCTGACAAGCCTCAAATAGCAATCTATAATATGCCTTTTGTTTATCGTCTGCAACCAGGTCATACTTTCTCGATTAAACAACTTCGTCTTGCTCTTCATCTAACTGTTAACAAACATCCCTCACTTCACACATCACTTCATTTTAACATCCAAAAAAATCTACTTGTGCAACGAGTTATTACTCATGAAAATAAAAATAATAATAATAATATGTTTTCAATCATCGAAACTACTTATGAAACAGATGGACAGTTGAATGAAATTTTACATGACGAAAAACGAAATCCTCATCTATTTAATATTGTTCAAGGTCTTGTCTTTCGATGTCATCTTGTTTACTACAAACAAATCTCGTCAAATCATCTACTTTCTGACAAAGATCTACTTATTTTCAACTTTCATCATGCTCTATTTGACTTTCCATCCATGAATATATTTCTTCATGATCTCAATCAAGCATATACAACAGGTCAATTATTATATGATGACAGCACTAATCTTCGTTATCTCGATTGTAAATATAAATACTACTTCTACTTTTCTCTTTGGCTAACACATTCTTTTCTTTGACTTCATAGATGCTATCATAGAACAACAAATGTCAATGAGTGGTGCAGGCATGTTTTGGCTTGATGCTCTCCTTGATTGTAAACTTGATCAATCTTTGTCATTACCATATGATCGATATCATCTCTCAAATGAACATCGAACTGGCCGTGGAGCATGTATTTCTTTTGATTTTGGTCAAGATCTCTCCCAAGGCTTTTTTTTCCACGCATCATCAAACAACATATCACTAGAACATCT